GCGCCTCTAGGCCGGCGGACGATGCCTGGCTTCTGGGAAAGGCGGGGGGAACGGAAGAGTTGGGGATACGGCGCCGTTGGGCTGGTTCTAGCCTGCTGCCATCGCGGAATTCCTCTTTCTGCGGCTTCGGTTCGGCCCATCGTTTCCCAGCATGGTGTCCTCCTGGGCCCCTCTTGTGAATTTCCCCAGACACCTCAATAAATAGAAGCCGTGTGTCATTTGCACACAACACCGTATCCCTGTTTGTCTTGACACCTGTGCGGTCCCAGATATTCTGCCCCATCCTGGAGAGCCAGGAGAAGGGGCACGTCTGCATGCAGCACTTCTTGCCTCTCAGGTTGTGAATGTGCGATCCGCTCTTCCCACCAGATCCCAAGAGCCGTGCTCTGTGGGCAGTCCTACCAAAAGAGGAAACTAGGGAAGGGTGAGCCTAAATTTCAAAGTCATTCAGGGCCAGTGTAGAAGCAGATGTAGACTAGGGCTGTAGGCTCGACTGGAAAGTCACAAAAATCTTAGGAGAAACTCATAGCAAGCCCCTTCCATGTTGCTGCCAAGAAAATTGCGTGTGTTCCACAAACTCAACAGGAGCCAAGATTAATTTAAAGGAGACTTGACTTTTTTATGTTGAATGGTCACTATAATTATGTCTCTTATACAGTACCTATTTTTTAAGGTAATTATTACTGTAGGTATCTCATCGATTTCATTCTAATCTCACCACTTCCTTCCTTTATTATACACCTACATTATATCACAAAATGATCCTCTGTGCATCTGATGGAAGTTGCCTCTGACCATAATCAAAATTTAGCTCTCAAACCAGCTTCACGCGTATGCCAAACTTCAACTCCTGAACTGAGGAGAGCTTTAACTCTACCCCATGTCAATGCCCTCCCTGGAGCTGCTTTGGAAGAGAAATATAGACAACTCCTTTTGAAGCACAATATTGTCTCTACAGCATGGGTGCGATCAAAGCCACAACCTGTGTTCTTCTTTATTGTCAGTTTTGTAGGGTCATTCGCCACCAGCTGTTTACCCCACTTTAAACTAAATTTCCACAACATTTCTGATAATTTCTATTTACACTTTATTAGATGATTGAAATAACTATCTCTTTAAAAATAGCAAAATTTTGTTACATTATATGTAAACTCTGCCCGTAAATGGCTAATAACAGTTATTCGCAGAGTTAGGTGCTAATTTTACTTTTTTAAAAATGGTATTTTATACAGTATATCCATTATATAGCCACAATTTCTTAGACATTGGAGCCATCAGGATGATTAAGGCAATGTCATTCAGTCCTCTCCGTCATCCCTTTTATGCCAGGTCTAAATCTCTGCACCATAATATTACAGTCTGTTAGCCCTGTGCGGTAATCCAGACAAGAAGCACAGCCAGGACAACTAGCTCTCTCTTTATTGTAAGGTTACATTAACAGAGTCTTGCAAGACAGAAAGCATTTCTCCTGTCTTTTCCTTTTACTCTCCAGAAAACTAGGAAGGGTCCCTTCTGAAATGTCTCCCACGCCCTCCCTCCTTCTGTGGGCTGAGAGGCCTTCTCCATGCCAGTTGTCCAGTCTGTGTCTCTCCCTCCTGTCTCCCAAGGTTGATCCTACATACCATCACACAGTCACGCCATTAATGTGTAGTTTGAAGCACCTGTAGATTTTAATAATTTAGTGATTTTATATATTGTTTAGCCATTTGTAATGATTCATTTTTAGCATTACATATAGTTTTATATAACAGTTTACTTCTTACACAGATTTATGTAAGTGGTATTTATCATTCATTTCAAAATCCTAACAATATATATAACCTTAATGGTACCGGTACTGTGTTTCAGTATGTTCATGTTAATAAAACTCCCTGTGCTTTAGTACTCATCTAGAACTTTTGTGTCAGCCTCCTGTTCTTCCTAGACTGCTGTTCCTAATAATCAATAAACAGTCTTTGCAATAGTCTCAGATCATTGTTGTTATCACTTCTGCTTTAGAAGGGCTGCATGAAATTCCAGAAGCAATTAGACTTGGTAGATGAACTACCCTTTCAGACCACTAATCTCCACTCAGTGCGTATGGTCCGTTCCTTTTCTCTTCGACGGCTTTTTGTCACTAATCCCACAAGCTTGAAACAGCATGTCTATACTTACACTACAGATAAAAGTGTTTTATCTGCTTTAATTGTTGATCTTACTGCTTTAGCAAGTAATGAGCAAATTGAACTTTTCTCACTAGTGCCTGCTTCAGGTGGCTCCTGACTTCAGCTACAGGAGCCAATCCAGCTGTTGCTGAAACTATTGCTGTGGGGTGACTTAAATTATTGCCCCGGTTTCTCTCTCTCTCTGATGTTTTTTGTTTCTTCTAAGTCCAGGGACTTGGATAAAGGCAGCATGTTGTAGCATGCCGCTACGGATTGCATGCAACAGGGATGAACATGGCTGAAAACAAGGCACTCTTGTCAGGTCACACAAAGAATTGTGTGTTGAGCCAATTGTCAGGAGATGATGTGTGACTAGCTGTGGCTTTTTCTGTTGCAGATAATGCTGGTAAGTGAAGTCTCGCCTTTTGTGCAGTTCAACTGTTTCATGAAACAGACAGGGGCAGCCACAGAGCGCTTGAGGTCTGAGGTCAAAGACAAAATGGCACCTCTTCTTATTCTGTGGGCAAAGGTAGATGAGACTGATAATTAAATGTTAGTTCCAGACCAGCAAAGGAACAGGTCTCTTACCGTATTGAGGAGGGAGCCCAATTTAGAGGCCCTGGGAAAATCAGATGGCACAAAATCAGTTCTTTAGTCTCGATATCTGCCATCCAAAGCTAGGAAAAAGAATATTTTCCAATAACTTGCATGGTTATCAGTTGAAAGTATGTAAGGACAAGAGAGAAAATGAATAGAAATCTAGATTTTTGCATATTAAGTATTATGTGCATTCACATATAAACCAGTATAAATACACAGAATTATGGCCATACAAATCACAAACTTGTTTAGCTTAGTGTGGGCTAGGGTTTAGTTTTGAAACTTTTTAGGTCATCAAATGAGGCTGTGAAGTATTAATCATGAAAAGGAGAATATTTCACCTCTCAGTAACCTCTACCATCCCACGCATGTCACTGTTTCTGGATGACCCATTTTGGAAAAAGAAAAACTTGCCTTCCATTAAATATCGAGAGAACAGGAATTGATTAAGTTGTTTGCACTTGGCATCCATTTTTTGGCAGCTGCTGGAGCCTTCTGTGATCTTGATTACTGAAAATTAGCAGTATGATTTCTTGCTACTTTCAGACTTAAAAAGAAAAATCCATACCCTCTGAAAAGTGACCCCACACACTTTACACTTTTGCTCTGATCATTATAAGCCCTACACCCACTCATTCTGCATCCTGGGAAGACTTTAAAGTTGGGTGTCCCTGGAATTAGTAGAAGCACAGGAGGAGATGTCTGTGATGACATCCACATGCAAATTGACAAGACTGCACGTGTGTCAGAAGTCATGACATCATTATGTAACTGCACCATTGCACGATGACGTCGTGTTGCACAGGTCATTTTGACATCATGTTACAGACACTGCTAGGCTTTCATTTAACCTCCTGACCTAAGCTCAGTCTGTAGAAGTAAATTGTGAACCAGCTGCTCCATTTTTTTTTTTTTTGATGTACCTAAAAGGCTTACAAATGATAAGAACTAAAAATAAAACATTTAAAACCCTGGAAAGATGAAATATTCATCTTCCAGATGTGGATAGACATCTCACATCCAGCTCTGGAAAGACATGAACATTTTCTTTTCTTCAAGGCAATGGCATGTTAGGTATATATAATTCCATTCCACATCATAGTTGGAGATTTTATGGTTCCCCCTGAGCTTTGTATTGTGAGATTCAAAGCCAAATTATATTAGCAGAGGCATCGGGATTTCCAGTGGAAAAGGTTTTCTGTTTTTTAAATCATCCCAATAAAAATGATTAAATCCTTTCTAAAATATTTTTTATGTACTATAGATTTTCTGGCAAGCTCATAATGTCATGATGTGAAGTAATCGTATGGGAAATATAACCAGGCATTAGCAGTCCTTATTTACAGCACTGTCCCCCAATGTGATGTGTGAGAATTATAGCTTCTGGGGTCTTTGCTTGCTACTGAGTTGAAGTGTTTTCCACCCATCCTTGAAAACTGCACTGGCATGAAATTTACTGTCACTGTTGTTGATCTGCGTCCTCCCTCGGTGGCCTCTGTTCCCAGTTACTGCCATTGTCTGACTTCTCTCCAAGGTGACAGAGCCTAACAGATTTTACATACCTTGAGGTTGTTCTTGGATGGTGCTGGAAGAACAGGGAAAATACTACTTAAATACCAGTACAGCTAAAGACTACTTAAGGCTGTCTCCTTTCTGGACAGAGGATAAGATGAAGGCATGGTTATGGGGCACTGCAGAAATAAAGAAGTTGCCAAAGCATAGTTGTGCCATAGTTAGGAACAACTGGAGAAAGGACCCTAGAATTACTAATTAGCTTTGCCTACACTGGTGTCAGGTTCAGCCCAAAGAACTCCACGAGACAGTACAGATATAGTTCTATAGCATTTA